TTGAAGCAACCTACGATTTGCATGGGGCCATAGTGGGTTATGAAATGTCCTTGACACCGGGTACTAATGTTCAGTGGTGAGGTCTTAATGGCCGTTACTATCATCTACTATCAACCCCATGGGATTCCACAATGCACAGCATGGCCAGCATTCCGACAAAAAAAGATTGGGCACTTTCTGGATGTTTCCTGAGGTGGTGGAGAATTTGATGCCGTTCTGAAGAGGATGGTTGATAAAAGATGGGATGCTTACATGTTATAAGAGCAATACCTTCTGCTAGATAATAAAGGCCCTCTCATCTGCAAAGGAGAAATTATTGGAAATGGTGCTTTTGTTTATGGGGACAGTCCTTTGTTCCGTCTTCAAGGTGACTACCAATTACTCATTACAGCAGGTCCTCAAAATATGCCAATTTCGTTTAACATCGTTCATGAAAATGTTGAGGAGATGCCATATGCCACAGGAACTTAATTCTTGTTTATATCAGTTAGCCTATGTTTCAATTGGTTTCATTATCCATTTTGCTTAAAGTCACAGAACCTATCAAGGAGGACATTAAGTGGGAACTTACTGTATTTCAGAGGTGATTAGCCCAAGGTGGAAGAGGAGGAGGAAGAGGAGAAGGAGGAATGCATATGGCTTTTTAAAAAAATCATCAATAGACTTCTAGTGATGAAAAATTAGAGAATGTTCCCACATTCTCACGTGTTTGAGTTCTAGTAACACCTCCAAACTGTCCATGGTGACAGCACCGAACTGGGAGGCATTCAAGGGCACGATCTGAGCAGGCCTCCCCTCACCTCCCAGGATGCTCCTGAAAACAGGAATCTGCTCTGCCTCCCAGTTCATCTCCTTCTTCCTGCCCTTGTGATCAAGAGCCTATGAAATGCCAATATTTCAGGACCACTTTATTTTCAACTCGAAACAGCAGCAGACGTGTGTGCGTGTGCGTGTGCGTGTGTGCGTGTGTGTGTGTGGACAGAAACTGGCAGTGCTCACTGATCTTTCCCACTGCAATCATGGGGATGTGAGATGAGGACAGCGCAGGGAGTCTCTGATGAGCCAGCCCCCCCAGGAGCAGCAAGCTGTCCCTGTAACTGCAACCAGCGTGCCCCCTTCCCTCTTAAATACAGCTGTGAGATGTGTCGCTTTGCATCCACACTCCATCTGGTGAATAAAAGATGCCAAAAGACAAATAGCCCTGCCCTACTTGGAAAGATGGGGAGTTGCATCAGGTTGCTCCTAGTAGCGCTCTTTCCTGTTTCCATGGTTCGGAGATGGCAGCTCCCGAAATGGAAATGAAATCCAGTCCTCGCTTCTTGCAGGCTTGCTCAGTGCTCTTCTTCAGGGTCTGGGAAAGGACGGACCCAGCCCTCCCTGCAGGACCCACTCTGAAGGGACAAGGGTGAAGCCACTCCTCAGAACCTTTATTTTAAGCACAGACTCCACAGCTCTGCATTTCCAGCCCTAATAAGCTGTCACTGTCACGCTTGCTTATTAACCCACATTCCCCGTCCCTCCAAGGCTCTCAGAGGGGGAAAGCAGAGTCCGCCAGAGGCTATTTCTAAGGTTTCCTCTTAGAGGCACTGTTTATTGAGCACTTGCTATTCTCCATCAGACACTGTACTAAGTACAATGTTCGTTTAATCTTCACAGCATTTAAAAAAAGATATTATTAATCCCATTGAATAGACTGGGAAGCTGGGGCTTTAAAAAGTCAAATAATTTGCCCAGGGTCATTCTTCTGGTAAGAATCTTGGGAATTGTCCATCCAGAATCCACGCCCCACTGCGGTGTATCGGAGGAAGCGCAGCACCGGGGGCCAGAGAGGCCTGCCGCCAGTTACTGTGCAATCTCAGCGGTGTTAAAGCCTCCAAGCCTCCGTCACTTCCTCTCCAGGGTGGGAAGAGTGATCCCTCCCCTGCCTTTCTCCCAGGGTGGAGGACAGGAACAGCACCTGTTGCTGCCTCCGGTAAGTTCACTTCCCTCGCACGGACCTCCTCATCCATCTGTTCAAGGTTGGGAATGAGAGAGACAGGCAGAGAGTCCCAGGATAAGGAGGCCTAAAACTAACTTTAGAAGTTCCATGTCTTCTTTTCAAAATTTGAATTTGCCTTTGTGTAACTGTATGGGGAAGCACAGGATCTAATGTTTGAAAACAAATTCTACTCATGTTAAAGTTATCTAGACAAGAAATCAATCAAAATAGGCAAGCACATTGTATGTGCTCAATAAATAACGAAAGAAAGGCCAGAGGAACCAGGCAGGAAGCAGACAAAACCAGCCCTTTGTCTGGATCGCTTTTATCTTCGCCTCTTTGTATTTCATTACCTATGCAAGTAGCTAATTGGTTCTGAGTCTCTATCAAATTAATTTAGCCAAAGTTATTTTCACTCTACAATTAGCAATGACAAAGAATGTAAAAGCAATACAAATATTATTTGCCAAACCATCATATTCTATAGTCCGAACAGCCCTATGTTTTTTCTCAACTGAGGCATCATGATAGGATGGGTCTACCTTCTTGAAATTTCAAATTACCTAATTAAGCAACACTCATGGAGACCAAACAGAGACAGACACACACACACACACACACACACACACACACACAGCTGATATAAAAATGAAGCTGCCAACAGCAGCTAATAAAACCCCAGGGCACATGTTGATTCCTACAGCCATCAGTTAGCACAATGTTGATGCAGAAAAGGATCCGTGACAGCCTGCTAATGAGGACTTTTGGGAACTCTTGGAAGAAAGAAGAGAAAATGAATTTATGATGGTTTAGTTCAACTAAATGTTTGAACGAAGAAAATAAAAAGTGGTAACTAGCAATTGGTGGGGGGGGACCCCTCACCATACAGTGGGGATTTGGGTAATATAGCAATATAGCAAATGAAATACTCCTTCTACATGAAAGACACTTGTGGCTGATGCTCTGCAACACAATCACAAAATTAACCCGTTTTCTCCGCTCTTAAAATTGCTAAAAGGAGCAAAAATGCCAAAATAGATCCCTTCCAAACTTTTAATATATTTGTGTCCTGATTTCAGAGAGGAAGGGAGAGGGAGAGAGAGATAGAAGCATCACTGATGACAGAGAATCACAGATCAGCTGCCTCCTGGACGCCCCCTACTGGGGATGGAGCCTGCAACCAGGGCATGTGCCCTGACCTGGAATCTAACCATGACCTCCTGGTTCATAGGTCAACGCTCAACCACTGAACCATGGCAGCTGGGCCCTTTAAGACTTTTTTAACAGTAGGAACATAGTGAATACTCTCCATCATAGTGAATAATCTCCAAGTAAATGACCACTTGTAATGAAAGCCACCATTAATTAGAATGATGGCATTCATTTCTATGCAACCACGTGGCATCATCATTCCGGTGCCTGAATTTAAGTCTCAGAATGCAAACTCACTGGGCACATCTCGTCCCCTCCTCATCTCCCAGGTCTGTAAAGACAAGGGCGGCTCCGGATGAGGACAGCAGCAGAAGGGACAGAACATTTCTCCTGCCATTTCTAAAGCCCGTCACAACCTTCCCCTCCTGTCCCCAGGTCCCCTGACAGACTCCACCAACTAGTCTCAACTGTGCACAAAGTTAGCCTGCTAGGAGAGACCTGGGTATTTTACATAGTCAAAATGGAGGACTTGTGTGTGAAAAGAACCTGGGGGAGGAGAGCAGCTTAGACCGAGCTCTCTCTCCTCACCTGTTCTAACTCAATCCTGTTAAAACTGTTCACCACAGTCAGATACAAAGTGTTTCCCCACAGAGGCCCTTCAGTACTACATTGGTACACTGTCCAGAGAGCACTGATTGAGACAGCATTTTGAATATCAAACTTCAGGCACAAAATCAGAGCCTATTAATACTAATCGGAAACAAAAGTAAAGAAAGACAGGGTTTTAATTAACTCTATCCAACAGAAGGAGATAAAAGGGTATGGTGCCCCATAACAATCAGGATATGGGAAGCACAAAAAACTCCCAGGAATATACTGCTTTTCTGATTCGGGGGGGAAGTAGCTACAACTTTCATTGAGCATAAGATACTAGGAATTACATAAGCAGCTGCACTGCAAATGTTGGCCCCAATAAGAGCAATTGAAATCAATTCTGGAATGTGGTTAAACTGCTTTATCTAATACCATTAATAAATACGAAGATCTTTCATTAGTTGGACAGTTGCTACTGGCCAGTTTGATCTTCCTGAAGATAGCCAAGACTTACATGCACTTTTGTTCCAGATAAAAGCGCTCAAGTCCCAAAGTACAGCTCCTGGAATGAGAAAGTTCCAGGCGGTGCCACACTTCTCCTGGACAGGTCTAAAGTCTCCTTCCACCTGCTCCAGGATTCGGAAGGGGAAGGCCAGGTGTTTGTTTGGAACACTGGCTGTTGAACGTTTTTTAAAAAGTGGACCTTTTAGAAACATCGTGGTAAATCAGAAATTGTTGTGCAAGAGTGAACGTCTAAGCAGAACGAAAAATGAGGTTCCCCTTCCGGGCCACACTGGGCGGCCTGCACTTTGAAACCTAGAATGACCAGGACTGTCATTATTCAGCAAAGGTATGCACCTTAGGAGATGCAGCCCCCCCCCCCAGCTTAACAGCCCCCCTACAGCTTGTGCGCAAGAAGGGAAGAGACTCTGCCTCGTCCCCCTTCCCTCAGGTTACATCTGGGTTTGCTAGTCTCCAAACTACACAGAGACAGCGCCAAGAGTCGCCACCTGCGCGGTGCCACCCAACCCGGGAGGCAGCAAGGCTGGTGCACCTTACAAGTGTCCCCACGCCCCGCGCCTTCCTCCCAGGGCCGACCCAGAAGCAAACACCTTCCACAGAAAAAGAGGGAGAGAGGGCTTGCATTATATAACAATATTCCGTAGATAAAGCTTCTAGAAAACGAAAGTACCGAGGGGAGGCGAGGGGAAGGGAAGGGAGGGGAGGGGCGGGGAGGCGAGGGGAGCCGGTGTGGGGAGCTTTCCCCGCCACTTACTCGAAGGCGAAGAAGAGCCCGCTGGTGACCAGGATGAGGACGAGCGTCAGGTAGAAGACCCCCGTCTGCCGGGCCATCATGATCCTCCCGTTGCAGAAGAACTTGTTCCTTCCCGGGAAGACCTCCCATTTCCTCCGGGCCGGGATCTTCTTCTTCTTGTGGGGCGACTCCATGGGGGAGGAGCTGTGGGTGCTGATCTGACTGTACTCGCAGTCTTTCATGGGCCCGCTGCCGCCGGGAGACAT